GTGTGCCCGGCGCCGCCCGCGCCCCCTGCCAAAGGGTGGCACTGGCACCTTGTCACCCAGCCTGGTGACATCCAGCCCGAGGGCCCCGGGTGGGGGCACCCAGGGCATCCCCCAGCCCTGCTGCAGGCTCTGGGTGAGTTTAACTGCGGGGATGGACAGGAGGAGCTGTTGACGGGTCAAAAATGGGGTGGATAATGGTCAGTGCAGGAGCTGTGGGATTTTCCCCTTTAGGGTCTTCTGGATTAGGGAAAAGCAGCATCTTCTTCTCAATATTTCTGATACACCACCCGGTTACAGGCTTGTCCCCCAGGTCACAGCGTCGGAGACTTCTTGTCACCAGATCTGGCTGATCCGGGTTGATAACCATCAGGAGAGGCACAAAACCCACATCACCAGGGGGTTTTGGGGTACCACACTCACCCATCCCATCACAGGGACCCCCGTCTGCAGCTCATCCCACCGCAGGAGCTGGTGTCGGAGGAGGACCAGCACCACAGCGGTGGGGAGCACCCGAGCATGGTGTGTTGTGTGCACCACCTGGGTGCTGCCACCTGGGCCTGGCCCCATTCCACTCTGATTTATTTGCAGATAAAGGGTTTATTTTCTTTTCCCAGCGCTGCAGCTGCAGGACAAACACCATGAAGACTCCTGAGATACCTCCCACTTGGGCCGGGTGCCTGGAGAACGTTGGTGGTGTTTGTCCCTGTGCTCCTCCTGTTGGCACCTCGTGCCTGGTTGAGAAACCAGAATGGGCTCAGCCCCACATGAGGCACCCCCCAAACCCTCCCGACTTAGGGTCTGTGCCCAAGGTGAGGCCATGGGAAAGCAGGAATCGGTCACCAAGCTGCCTCTGGTGCGAAGTTCCCAGCCCTGCTCCAACGTGCTCACTCACATCCAGTGTTACGGAGTGGATCAGGGTTTGGCGTCACTGTTTGGGCTGGAGCATCGCAGCCCAGTTTGACCTTTGAGTGCAGGTGGAAAGGGCCCTGTGGGCCAGATAATCTACTGCAATTAAAGACATTAATTATGCCATTATTACAGGGTAAGATACGCAAGGGACTGGGTCACCGCCGCTGTTTTGAAGGACGGGGACATGTCCTGGACCCACTCCATGGGTCAGTCCCAAACCTGGGCAGCTTAATAGCAGAGCCGAAGCCAAGGAGCCAAAGCAGGACCCAAGAACATCCCCTTCCCGTCCACCTCTGTGCCCTCAGCCCGTTGAAAACACATTTGGGTCCTGCGGTACAAAAGGCCAAAGCTACAGCCGACAGCAGGAAGGAAGCAGGAAAAACTCCGGCATCACCATCCGGAGCCCGGAGAGACCTTTGGGGACACACGGGGCCGGATGCCTCCGGCCAGGCTCGGGCCACGCTCGCAGTGTGTGCCCGTGGAGGGAGTGATGCTCCCTGGATGGCAGCGGGGAGGAAGCATCTCGTGTCCTGGGACAGGGACTGGGATGCTGGGTGGGACCTGCTCCATCGGGAGGGATTTGCCCCATCATCGGGGCTGTGATGCCACCAAGGGGTTGCCCTTGAGCCACCTCGGCAGCACACAGGGAGCAGGTTTGGCCCCCACAGCATCCAGGTGGGGCACTGACACACGTGGGTGCCCCACGCATTGCCCCCGACACCGACCGTGCTCAAAGAAGCAGGAAACAGCCACCTCCTTTAATTCCCCACCAGAAATGTGGGGCTCAGAGATCACAGGGGTTTAGCACCAGAAAAACCCACCGGCCCGTGTCAGGAAGCTGCTGGGAGCCCTCAGAGCCCAACACCGGCTGACGTGAGCGGGAAGACGGTGAATCGATTTCCTTGGGAGGCCACGGTGGGCAAGGAGCTGCCTCTGCTCCTGCCATCCCCCCGGGGCTCAGCCAAGGTGGGTCTGCAGGACCAGGACCTCCCCATAGGTCTCACCCTGCCAGAGAGAGCCAGGATGTCCCCAGGCTGCTGGCAGCAGGGCTGAGCACCTCCCTGGGGACACCGGCTGGGTTTCCAACAGCTCCCACAAGGAGCAGGATGGGCCGCAGCGACACGACCCCAAATCCACCAGCTCCAGCGGGGAGAAGGCATCACGGGCGGGCTCAGATCATGGAGACCCTGTTCTTGATGTAGACGTGGTACGGGGAGC